TACATATATTTCTCATAAATATTGTAATTGAAAAAAAAGTGAATGAAATTGATGCTAATTTTTTTTTCTCTTCTTTTTAAACATTTAGCCATTTGTTTAACGATAGAGAGAAAAGCATCATTTGGACTTGATGATGATGATGATGATGCTAATAATGTAATGAAAAACAAAATAAAACAAGGACAACAACAACATGTTACAACTTAGGACTTACTTAGAATGAATGAATGAAAATTAGCCATCATCATCATCTAAATCAAATATTATGACACTTTTACACAGACACAAACACTCAAACAGAAAGAGAAAAAAAACATGAAAATTTCAGTCACTTGAATATATTTTCAAATGTTTTTGAATGTCCATATGGTTTTTTGCTATTCATTTTCATATTATTCGTTTTGTTTTACCGAAGGGGAAACAAAAAACATTTAAATATGATGATGTTTAATGTTTAATGTTTTTGTTGTTTAGGTGCTAAAAGTATCCGAATAGAAAATGTTTGTGTGTTTGATATGATGGTGATGTTTGAGCCACTTGAATAGCAATTTTTAATGTTTGAATTGTAAATATTGCTTGCTTTGTCGAGAGTGTCGAATAAAGGAAAACCAATTCAATTCAAAATTGAATTTAATTCAAACAAAACAAAATTCAAGTATTAAGTTTGAATGATGGATGGATACAAAACAATGATGATTTAAAACTTGATTTTTAAAATAGCGATTATTATTAGGTGTGTGTTTTTGTTTGCGTTTTGTTTTTCGAGTTTTGTTTTGGTGATAATTTTACAACGAATTTTTTCAAGTTTTGTATTTTATCCATCCATACACTCCATTTGTATCCGGCTGCATTAAATATCGAATTGCATCAACATTGAATCATTTTGGCCCATATGTTATATTTAGGTTTTTTATCCTGGTTTTTCTGGTTTAGGTTGGATTTCCATTACCATTTTCGGTGTAAATAATCTTCTATGAATGAATACCATTTTCCTTTCTTTTTTTTTAAATAAAAAACAAATTTCCATTAGTATTTTTTTTCCTGGAACAAACTTTTGGGAACACTATTTACACTTTTGCCGACAAACAATGTTTTTTTCAGTTTGGATTTTGTTCCACATCATCAGATTCAGAGATAATCTGGTGTTGATAAATTTTTTATTTTTTTGATCAAACATTTTTTCTGTTTGTTTTTTATTTTGAGATAGAATCGATAATACTTTTCTTTTGGTTAGTCAAAACCATCAATCGATACAATCGATACCAATCAATCAATCAATCAATTCAATATACCTTTTGATAGAGTGAAATTAAAAGGGGTTATTTAGTCTGATCAATTTCAATGAAAATATTTCTTTGCAAATTGAGTCAATGATCTTAGTCAATTGATCAAACTAAAAAACGGTCAATTGAAGAAGAATTTTAAGTTGTTTTTTATTATTATTATCATTATTTTCATTATTATCATTATGGTCGGTTTGCAACAACCAACCAAACAAACTTCAAATTTAAATCCGATTTATATCTCATCTTGTGTTTCATTCGTTGTTAGTTTGAAATGAATTGGAACACATTTTTCACCATTGAAAATATTCAAAAAGGTAGCACTTGATTCTTTTTCTTTTTCTGATTATTCATTCATTCACTAAACGATGACTATTATTACCGCGATATAACCACCAACCGCTAACAACTACCAACCAACCAACAACAACAAAAATAATCCACCAACATAAGCCGCTATAAAATCAATCAATCGAGGATCTCTCTCTCTATAGGACCAACTAAACAACAAAACTCTTAAATATTTTCTGAATAAGTGAAAGTTTTTCTGATTCAATAAAAAAAACGAAATGAGAGCATAATCAATCGACCGAATCAACACCGACCGATATAGTGAGGGAAACAAGACTTAACAAAACCCCCGAATTGACTATACAGAATTACAGTGGCACGGTATAATATCGGTTTTAGTTTAGTTTCGTTTTTTTTTCGCTTTTCAACGGGGATTATGATGATCACCATCATCATCATCATCATTGATGATGTCTATGGTTCTTGTCAATGGTTCAGTATTTAGTCAATGTGTTTAGTGTTTTTTTTTCAATTTGGTTTTTGAAAGTAATCAAGCGTTAAATAGGGCTTATAAAATAAAAAAAATATAATATGGGTAGTGGCTATATTTATTTCCATTCATTTTTATTCAGTCAGTCAGTCGGACTATAATTTTTATGATCATTGGCTAGCCATCATCATCATGTTTATGTTGTGTGTGTGTGTCCAGCCGCAATTATCATCAACAACAGCAGCTATAATTCGGTAAATGTCACCAGACAACAACAACAACAACATGTTATATCGATATATGAATAATGTCGTGGTTTTTTTGTGTTACCCAAAAAAGATCAAAAGACATTTTTTTTTTGTTTCTGTTTGGATAAAAGTAAAGCCGCCAGTAGCTAGGTAGACATTCAATTTTTTTTTTCGTTAATAACTTTCAAAGATCAAATTAAACAAATTATTAACACACACACACCACATTCATTCACCATATTTACATCAAGGTATACATCCTTTTCAAGGAAAAATTTTAAAATTTACCATGAAAATCATCAATCAAATATATAGGTCTCAATTACCTTGAAAAAACTAAAAAATCAAAAGGCAAAATAAACCCTCTGGCATCATTTTGTTGTTTTGGAAAAGAAAAAAAAACTAACGTAACTTGAAAAACAAAACAAAACAAAACTACAAAAAAGGTCATAATATAATTGAATGAATTCTGAATTGATGATGATNTTGTTGTTGTTGTTCTGGTTGTTGTTGTTGTTGTTGTTTGGCCATAATAATAATAACACCTAGAAAAAATAAATGAAGACAACAACAACAATGCAACAGGTAAATTGAACCTAGATAAGGTAACTAAAACTATTCAATTAGTCGATGAAAAAATTTAAGACCTACCACGTTGATATATGTGTGTGTGTGTGTGTCTGACATGTTTGTTAATAACAAAGGCCCTATACCTGGTGTGCCCGAAATAAAGAAAAAAAACATAGAAATTCTTGACACGAACATCATCATCAGTAATGAGAAATGAGAAAACAAAAATTAATTTAAAACACAAACATACACAGGTCAGTTATAAAGCCTATCTTGATTGCAAAATGTTTTTTTTCTGTTTTCTTCTTCTAAAAAATCTGATATCGTTTTCATTCTCGAAGATTTTTTTTTACAAAATTGGTTTAAAAAAAACATCTTTCAAAAACAACATTGGGACAAATCAGAAAAAAAATCAAGTATTTTTCGTATACTCTGTTATGTACACTGTATATATAAAACGATTGGGCGGTACTTAAGGCGGAGCATATGTTTCGACTATTAACCAATCACAAATGATTATACAAATATTCATAACATTTGATTGGTCATTGATTAATCGTTCTTTTTTTCTGGACAGCGAATGAATGAATGAAAATCAATAAATGTCAACCCCCCTTTTTTCAAACCAATCAAAATGGCTGATTGATTGATTTGAATTAATTGGGAAAAAATTAAAAATTAAAAATTTTTGAAAACTTTGTTGTCTGGGTAATGAAAATTTCATAGAATTTATGAAAATTTCTCCCCCTTTATCATCACACCTGTATGATGTTGTGTATGCTGTTTCGTATAAAGGTAGTTAGATAGCTAGATAGATAGATAGATATCGTTCATTGAAATAAAATGAATGAATGAAGAGTCAATGAAATGGGCACAAACACACAGTGAGTGAACACGCAATAGAAACAACACCAACGTTATACACATGTATTTGAATCAACATTAATAACAGTCAGTCATGGTTACAGGACAGCAAACAATCCTGGAAAAAAATGGAGAAAGAGAGAGAGAAAGAATCATCACTTCAAATCTATTTGGTGTGTGCTTTTTCTCAATCATAGGTAGCATTAAAAAAAACATTCGTTAGATAGCCATCGTACAGTCAAGTTCAAATGAAATTTTTTTTCTTTCAAATATGAATGTTAAAAGAGAGAGAATGATTGAATGAAATAAAAGAGAAGAATTTTTTTTCTTGTGTTAAACATCCTATGAATGAATTAACCCAGAAGTGATAATTCAATTAATTAATTAACCAAATTTTCATGCATCCCTCTTTTCTTTGTTTTAATATGCAATCAATCAATCAAAATCAATAATCAATAATGACTTATCATAATCGATCATCCTCGTTTAATCGAAAAAGGATTAACTTTTTTGTTGATCCACCTGAACAATCATCATCCACAAATCATTATCATCCGCATCATCATAACCATCATTCAAGTATAGATTCATCAATCTGGTCATCATCATCATCAAATTATTATCATCCACATTCTCATCATCAACAAAAATGTACAAAAATTTTTATTGCCAACAACGAAAACAGATGCCAATTTAATCGATGTTTACCTGAAAGTAGTAGATCTCTTTCTATGATCTCATCATCATATAGATGGCCAATATTTATTTGTTTATCATTAATAATGATGATAATTGATGCCAATCCACAACAAAGTAGCAGTAGTGATCATTGGCGGTCATCATCATCATCGACAACCGCAACTCGTTCAATATCACCACATTATCATCTACAACATTATATTCATCATACGAATTTAAATTATTCTTCACCATCATCAATAAATCAACATCGACAACAACCCGAACAACATCGATCAAATCGTATGATAAAACCGCAAATTCACCACAATAATCATCATCATTCAAATTATCATCAATCAAACACACAACAACAACAACAACAACAAAATACGATAAAAAGCCCATATTATAATAGTCAATTATTATCGATACCATTTCCATTACAACAACAGCAACAATTGTTATATCAAAATACAAATTTACAGAATTATTTTTCACATCATAATCAACCATCGCCAACAACAACAACGAACAATAATAATATTGTCCAACGATCAAGTTCATCATCAAATTCACCACAATCATTATTACGAAGAAATTCAATAATATCAAATCAAATACCAAGAAGTATAAATCCAATGATGATTGAAACAAATATGATTGCAGCATCAATGAAAGGTGCTGGTGGTGGGGGTAAATGGTGGTAAGTTTCAAAAAAAATCAATGTTTTTCATATCCATGTTTTTTGTTTCCATATCGTCTGAATGGATGTTTTCCTCGTTTCTTTCTTCAATTCGGTTGTTTAACCAACCGTATAGAATGAATGAATTTGAATTTGAACTGATAAGATTTTGAAAAACATAAAAACAAAATTTGAATCTTTTTCTGTTTCTTTCAAATTGGATTATTAAGTGTGTATGGAAATATGTCGGATGTATCATTAGTTTGAAATGAAACAAACAACAAACAACTCTCTAATGATGATGATCATCATCTTTTTTCTGGAAAAAATTAGGCAAAAAAAAATGTCAAGCTTGAATGAGAAAATTGATATTTTTCTTCTTATTAGTGAACAAATGAACAAAAACAACAACAGCAGCCGGTTTCAACATTAATAATGATGATAATGAATTTTAGTAGACGAAAAAAAAACTAAACAAAACAAGAAAAAAGGTGATAGATGTAATGAGTATTTCTCTTAATTGTCTTTATATGTCTGTTTTGTCATTTCTGTTGTTGTTGTTTGTATGTCATTTTTTTGGTGTAAAAGATAATTCTTCTTTCTTACACTTTTCTGATCATCATCATCAAATTTAACTTGGCTGTTGTGACATGCACGTGATCATTTCGGGCTTGCTTGGCCATGCGTTTGGTTTTTGGTTTTCAGTTTCATTATCCAAGGGTCCTAGCTAGCTAACCTGTTATTATTAACCATCATTGTTTGCTTGTTTGTTGTTGTTGTTAATTACAATTTTGTTTTGTTTCGTTTTTACCAAGAAACAAAAAAACAAAATTTTTGAAGCCAACAACCTGAACTACAGGAAAGTGATTTTTCTGTGTATATGTCTGACATGTGCCAAACGAAAAAAAAAACTAAAACGTTGAAGAACATGCATGGATTTGATTAGATTAGGTTTTTGTTGTTGTTGTCTTGTTCTTGGTTTTGATTTTTGATTTTTTTTCGATCGACAGTTAGTGATAAAATCTTTAAAAAAATCAAACAGTAGTCTCTTGCTTTCGTTGTTGTCCAAATTGATTTGAATCAAATTTTTTTGATGCTGGAATTTTTTTTTGGGATGTTTGAATTAGAGAAAAAACATTGACTGCAGCCATCATTCGATTGTCTATCTATCCTCTAATTAAACATCCAACAAAATCAATGTCAAAAAACAAAATCAAAAATTTCATTCAAACGAATCGTTTTGGTGATTGTCGAACGCAAAAAAGATTCGAGATTAAAGCAGATTGATAAGATTTTCTTTTGCATTCCACTTCTTTGATTTTTTTCGATTTTTTCGATTGTTATTTTTCAATTCAATCAATTACTCGATGATTGAGTGATTCGAGCTTTTTTTTCCTTCGTTCTCGGTGCTTTATTAGGAAAGAAAAAAAAAATTCACAGCTTTAGCCTCATCAGAAGGACATTGGCCGTTTTGTTTTTTTTTCTTGCTTCATATCTTTCGTGTATCAATTTGACACTATCAAAACAAACACAGAAAAAAATGCGACAGGTAGCTAGATTTGATAAAATTCCTTTTCCATTTACCTACCTGATCGGATTGTCGGTATTTATTTCTTTATATTACTGATTGATGCGGATTGTTTCTTTCTGGTATCATATCATCCATCCTACACAGAAATCTTTCGGATTTTTGTTTTCTTTCGGTTAAATTAGCTGAAAATTGCCATTAAGTGGCTATAAGTTTTTGTCTTTTTCATTTCATCTAAACCTAATTAAAACGATCAACAACGACGTCGAGGGTCTTTCTGTCGATTTGATTAGGATAAACACATCCAACAACAAGTGATCTAATCTAATCAATGTTTAAAAAAATGAAGATTTTTGTTCTGATTAGTTAATTCAGTCGCAAATGAAATAATAAACCACTTTTTTGATCATCTTATTAAGCAGCCAGGAAAATTCTTACATTTCATTGATTAGGAAAACAAAATTTGAAAATTCAATTTGAATTTCTTTAATGAACTTTTTAAAAAGTGGTTTAAACTTTCAAAATATTGACCATTATAATGAAGTTGTTTGTATGTAACGCAAAGATTAAAAAATTTCACAAAGATTTTTGGGTTTTTTCACAATGATTTCTCGCTAGATAGAAAAAAGGTGTTTTAGGCAGATATTTTTTATTTGGTGACCCAAATCTTTGATTGATTGATTTGATATTATGGATAATAATTTAGAAAAAAAATGTTTACCTTTTTCTCCGACAAATTTCCTGTCGAAATATTTGTTGATTCAGATTGACAATTGGTCAATCAATCAATCAATCGATCATCATCATCACTTTGTAATGTAAACTTCCTCATGCTTTTACGGCTGCAAATATAGTCTGTGTGCTTATATTTGCTTTGCATTTTTGTAATTTGTTTACCAAAATCGATTAATGTGTTTATTCAAATCATCAGGGACATTGCTCGTCAGCCATCACCATCATCAACAATGATTGAATCATCATCGTTTGATGTAACCAAACAACAACAACAACAACATATGGATGGTCGTCATACAAATTTAATATTACCATCATCATCATCAGGCGGTGGTACAAATTCCATTCAACAAACAAATCAATTATTAACATCAATGAATTTACCATTACGTAAAAAACAAAGAAAATTAGTACGTGATAATCCAGGCATACTAATTGCTATTACACGTGCAATGAAAATGGCTATTAATGAATGTCAATTACAATTTAAAGATCGTCGTTGGAATTGTCCGGTTAATGATTGGAAAAAGGGTAAACATGTTTTTGGTAAAATTATTCAAAGGGGTATGTTGTTTTTTTGAATCTATTTCACTATGTTCAAGCAATTTTTCGTTTCATCAACTGAATTTTTGTTTTTTCATTTTTTTTTTTAATAAATTTATCTAGGATGTCGTGAAACAGCTTTTGTTTATGCATTAACAAGTGCAGCAGTTGCACATTCAATTGCACGTGCTTGTAGTGAAGGTAATTTTTTTGTGATTTGATTTGAATTTGATTTACCTAATTTGATTATCAATGAATTTTATTTACTTTTTTATCAAAACATAAAAAGGTATGATTGAAACATGTACATGTGATTATCGTTATAATCGTAAACCATCCGGTATGGATTGGGAATGGGGTGGTTGTTCAGATAATATTGATTTTGGTTATAAATTTGCTCGACAATTTGTTGATTCAGCTGAACGTGGTCGTGATCTTCGTTTTGTTATGAATCTACATAATAATGAAGCTGGTCGTTTGGTAAGTTATTTCATTTTATTTTTTTCATCTCATTTCATTGACAAAATTCAACACTGAGTTACTGACTGATAATTTAAGAAACTTACCTGTGTGTAGTGAAAGATCTAGGCTAAAAATTTTTTTTAATTAGGTGTTAGTAAAACAAGAGAGAGAACAGAGAAGATCATGATCATCATAGTCAATCATGTCAAACAAAACAAATAAATTAAAAATTTTGAAAAAAACAACAAACAACGGGTGCCCTGAATCAATGATAATCAAGCCATCACCACCAGTGTTAAGTTTTTAGTTTAAGTTGTCCACACACAGAAATGATATATATTTCACAAATTGAAAATATCTTTATCATCTGTCACACGGTGTGGTGTTACCTGTTACCTGTTGTAATGATCATTATTGAACAATAATTAAGACATGTACTGTGTGTGTGTGTGTATAGGTTGTATACATGTTGTTTTTCTCCCTGTTGTTCCATCAGAAAATATTTTTCTTTTGATGGAACAAATTTCCACAATGGTAGGTGTAGTGTTAATTTTTTTTCTTGTAACCAATATTTGACCACCACCAGCGTCAAACATTGTTCATTGGGTTATTTCGAAAGTCATTCGGGCCGAAAATCGTTTCTTTTTTTCAAATGAAGAATTTCTTTTTTTCTTGAATTAACACTGAAAAATAACCATATGTAACCTGAAATGAAATGAAAAGAACCTAATGATCACTTTCATCATGTTGGTGATGATCGATTTTTGTTACTTTATTACTTTTGATTTCTTTGTGGTATAAGTTTCTTTAACCACGAATGATGATGGTGGTGGTGATGAAAGATCCAAAATAAAGGGGACCAAAAAAAAGTATTTTTTTTAACACTCATGTCACACACACACACATAAATGTTATTGTAATATCATTGATGATGATGATGATTGGTAATAATCTCTCTATTTGGGTCCTGCTGATTTATTTCATTCGTTTGTTTTGTTTGTCCCTTCTTCTTTGGACCACCGGTATACAAGAGATTTTTGGTTTTGGTTTTTTTTTGGTTTGGTTGGGTTTTGGCATGCGTAACAAATTGAGCCAGGTATATATTTGTGATTGTGATAATATTTCTCTAATCATCACTTACTTACATGGCTTAGTTTTTTTTATTTCATTGAAAAAAAATTTACCAAGTTGTAAGAGGCAGGTAAGCAGGTAAAAGAAAAATCTGAAACAATTTTTTGTTCAATTGAAAAGTTTGTCACACAAAACACAATGTAACAACGTAAAAAAAACATGACAATTATTATTCGTCGTCGACGACAACGAAATATCGTTTTGATATTTCAATTTTAAGGATAAATTTAGCCAAGAAATTGTTGTCGTTATTTCAAACATTCCACACCAAAATCTTTATGTGTTTTTTCTTCTTTTCATGTATTTCAAATTTATTGGTTAAAAAGTCAATTGCCTTGTAGTTTGTTTTTTTTCTTTCGATTCACCATCATAAGATTTTTTCACCGTTAATCGATGATGATGATGATGATGACAATGATCAATGCGAGCGCACACACACACAAAGATCTTATCATCTGAATGGTCTGAGTGATTTTTTTTTACCTGAAAAAAAATTTCATTGGTCATTCAAATAAACACACAAAATAAGTGTGAGAGAAATTTGACTAATTGAGACACTTACACTTACAAAGTTAGTTAGTTAGTTAGTTAGTTAGTTAGTCAATTGATCAGGTCAACAAATTGAAATAACCTAAAATGAATATATAAATCAATTTGTACATCGATTTTGATTGTTTTTTTTACCTAGTACAAAATGATAATGGTGATGGTAGTTTGTCCAGGTGTTTGTTTCAAATCGTTAATTGTATTTTGGTGGTGATCATATCATCATCATTTGATCATTTGGTCAACACACACACATCGAGCAAAAAAAAAGGCTAATTTTACGCTCCATTTGTTCACCAATTATCATTATTATTGCTGATCATTTTGGCTTTTGAAAGAATTTTTCCATAAAGCAGAATTTCTCGAAAACTTTTGGCCAGAAAAGAAGCAAAAAATCTCGTGAGAAAGTCTTATTGATTATGATATGCTTTTCTCTCTTTATGCATCTTCTAATGGATTCACCAAAAGAAAAAAAAAATTACCTGAAAAAAGTTGAATTGAATTTTACGCTCATAAAATTTAAATATATTTTTCATTTTGGTGATTATATTCGAAAATGAAGATGATTTTTGCTGTAAATTTGTGATGCAATTTTCAATAGACTAAACTAACTAAACTAAACTAATCGGATTGGCAATTGAAAAATTATCTATCTTTTTCTCTCCATAAATGTATCATAACGATGATGATGCCACATACAGAATATTTATCTATTCATCGATCGAAATATGATGAGTGAGTGAGAGAGAGAGAGAGAGAGAAATTCTATCTAGAAATATTTGATGTGTTTGGTGTGTGTGTGTTAAAGCTAAATTGGATTGATTTGATGATTTTCATTCATTTATCATTTCAATTAAGATAAGTTTCTTCTTTTTTCAAAGAAAAACTTTCTTTGGTGAAATTATGATGATGTCCACACACTTATTTCATTGAAAAGATGGTCATCATCATCTTTGATTTTTGATTTGAATTCAAAATGATTTTTTCTCTATCTTCGTTAAATGACATCATTGGTCATAATCATCATAATAATCATCGTTTATACAATCGATTTTTTTTTGATTTACCTTTTCGATTACCAATTGATGACTTGAGGCAAAATTGAGACAAAACTTAGATAAGACTAGTGACCAATTGTCTACCTTGTGACCATCATCATCATACTTATTATTGGTGAAAGAAAATTTTCCATACCAGATCAATATACCTGATAAGTGATTGATAGTTTGAGAATTTGTCGTATTTATATATCGTCATTTTTTCTCTGCTTTACCATTATCACTGATATAACTTCATCATCATTCATTGAATGATGATGATAATGGGCAGCCAATTCATATAGTGATATAGTGATAACCTGATAGGTAAATGATACAAAAAACAAACAAACTAAATAGGAAAAAATGTTTGATTTGAATGAAAAAAAATATTTGATTTACAATAATAGATAATAAGATATTTATTTATTATGTAAAGAAAAATATGCATAAAGGTCGAGTGATTTTTTTTTATCGATTATCGATTCCGGGTCGATTTTGATTTTCATATTTCAAAATGTTTTCTTGTTTTGTTTTCCATGTTTTTTCATTCATATTTTTTATTCAAATTTCTCAATTTTTTGTTTTCCAGCATGTATCAAATGAAATGAGACGTGAATGTAAATGTCATGGTATGAGTGGATCATGGTAAGTTTTGTTTTGTTTTAAAAATTTTTGGCCTTTCTTTCAAAGTCAATGTTTTTAACTTTGATTTGTAAATAAACTGTAGTACATTACAAACATGTTGGATGCGTTTACCATCATTTCATGATATTGGTAATAATTTAAAAGATCGTTTTGATGGTGCATCACGTGTATCAATTAGTAATGAATATCGTGGTTTCACTAGGAAAATGATGAAACATGTTCAATTAAAACCATATGAAATGGGTATGTTTTTGTTTGCGTTTGCTTTTTTTGCACTTGCGTTTTTGCATCTGCGTTTGTATTTCGTATTTTTCAATTTCCATATTTCCATTTGATTTTTTGACAAAAATAAAGGATATAAAACACCAACACGTGAAGATCTGATTTATTTCGAAGAATCACCGGATTTTTGCATACCAAATCATAAATATGGTATAATGGGTACACAAGGTCGTCAATGTAATGCATCATCAATCGGTGTTGAAGGTATTTGAATTTTAAAAAATTCCGGAAAATTTTCATTAATCAATCAAAACTTTTCTGAAAAATTTCCCAAAGGTTGCCATCTTCTGTGTTGCGGTCGTGGATATGAAACTGAAGAAATTGAAGAATATGAACGTTGTAATTGTACATTTCATTGGTGTTGTCAGGTAAATAATCATTGAATCAATCAATCCATTTGATTATTTTCATAATTACCTTGCTTTTTTGTCTTTTTGTTTTTCTATTTTCAAATCATTTTTACATCAATACCAGGTCAATTGTAAAATATGTAAAATTAAGAAAAAAATTTATCGCTGTTCCTGAACACATCATCTAATCTGCGAATGGATTCATTCACTTTGATAGAATTGATGGCCGCTACAAAAAATCACATCACCGCACTTGTAACATCATCCGATAAAATCCTTTTTTCTTTAATTTCGTTGATTCTTTTTCTTTTCTGCTTAATTTTTTTGTTTATTAATTATATTTATAAATATTCATTATAAAAATCTGAATATTTTTTCTTGTATTTTTGTAATTTGTTTCTCTGCTCAATCAACAACAACAACATAAAAATCTCTTGTAAAAACTTATTAAAAAAATCAAAATCAAATTATCAATCAGAATTTGTGCGTTTATAAATAAAAAAAATGAAATTAGCAATTTGCGAAATGCGAAAACAACAAAAAAAATCACACGCAAATCAATCAATCAAACATCAATCACCACATCACATGCATAGATTATCGCATAATAATCTATATTTGATAACACCTAATTTTTTCAAGTGGTTTTTTCTTTCTTTCTTATTGCTTATTTGTTTGTTTGCATCATTAAATCAATATTTGAATAATATTGATTATTGGCTATTGAAAAATTCAATTCAATAAATGGTGTGATATATTTTCTCTTTATAATATTGACACATTCTTCTTCGTTGGTTTTTTTGGTTGTTGTTGTTGTTGTTGTTGTCCAGGATACTACAACGAAAATAAAATAAGTAAAATCTCATGAAAGATATGTTGAATGAATGAATGAATGTTGATTTGATTCCAGAAACATCTAATCAAATCAGAAAAATGTTTTCTTGATTGATAATGTTTGGGAAAAAAGTTTCTACCACCTTTTTTCAACTTACCTTACCTTACCTGCCTACCTTTTAATTGATGGTCATCGATTTTTACAATCAAACAGGGGTATATTTTGGTTGGTTGGTTGGTTTAGTTGAAAGAATCGACTAGCAACAACGACACTATCATCGAATGGTCCGACCGATCGATCGATCGACCAGCAACCACGAAAAGATCACTGCCGCCGCCGCCGCCGCCGTTCGTTGAGCTTTTTCACTTCTTTCACTGCTGCTGCTGCTTCAATATTCAAGAAAGCCCGCTTTGTGGCCAAAAAAAAGAAATGTTCAAATGAAGTGATACAAGTGGGTGAACCTCCTTATTTTCTCGCATAGCACCACCATCATCATCAATATACCTTACCTGCAAAGGGCAATGATAATGATAATGGTTTGGTTTGGTTTGATTTTTTTTTTTTTGATCTTGCGCTTTCACATATTTCATTCAGTTTTATGTTAGACATTGAATGTGCTAGGTGATATCTATCATGAACAACAACCAAAATTTATTGATCTACATTTACATTGTTTTGGTTGTTTTGTCGATTTTCATCCCCAAAACATCATCATCCTCGACATCAGTTAATCTTGTGATTAAGATCAGAATTCAGATATTCATAAACCACGCCTTTTGATTTAAAAAAAAAAGATTTTTTCAAGAATCGGTGACAGTCAGACGACAAATACTTTTCAAAGAATAATCATCTAGACAGACCAGACCAGGCACACCACATCCACGAACAACAACAACAACAACAACAAAAACATTTCCCATCGGTATTCACAAGATTTTTTTTCGTGTTTGATTTTTAATAAAATGTGAAATCCAGAAAACAAAACAAAACAAAATGACAAAACATGTGTACTTTATTTTCATTCAGTAGCCATTATGTCTCAATATTGAATTGAAGATTTTTTTTTTGTCTACAACAAACAACAACAAACTAAACATATGTTGATGAAAAATGACATTTACTAATTAGCTAGACGACGACCAAATGACCATCATCAGAATCATGATCATGGAGAACAGCAACCACAACCATTTCAATGATGATCATCATTTTCATTGATTGTGTTCGAAGATCCTCATCATTGATCTAAGAAAAAAAAAACTTATTTAACTTCGAAAAAACAACAAAAATCATCACCCATCATCAAATGGTGAACATCATTAATCACGAAATTTGTGAAAATTATCTTCTACATTTTCTTGCAACTAAACATCATTTCATTTGATTCCGTAATCATTATATCGAACATCAGAATCTTTAATAAAGTAAAAATTTTTGATTCGACAGGTAAAAAAAACAAGGTATGTTTCCCGATTCAAATGTCAATGTTGTCAAGATTTTTTTTTTTTGTTGAAAACATAATTAATTAATTTGTTATCACCTTTGTTGTTGTTGTTGTTGTTGTTCGAAGAAAAATCATGACAACAACAACAACAACAACCAGCAAAAAAAAAAATGGATCAATTTTGATTACAAAAATAATAATTGATGATATGCCTGGCATCATTTTCATTAAGAATCAAAAATTCGTGACCAATCATCATCAATATCAATGTGTGAAAAAGGTGTTTTCATCTAAATTTCAATGAATTTCTTCAAATCATCATCATCATCAAATCTATTTAATCTTTCTAATCGATCGATCATCAAATATCTGAATGCTGATGATCTAAATGATCTAATGATGATCTGATTTACCAAAAAATTAGATGAAAATTAGTGTTATTTAATAGACATTCATAGGATATTCATTTGTTTTTTTTTTTTTTTTTTTTGTAATTTCTTGATTCTTTTGATTGCCACGAAAAAATTCATATCAAAATCTTGTTTTTTTCAAAGATTTTCTTTTAGGTATTTAGTTAGTTTAGTTTAGTCAATCTTAAAGATATGATCAACACACAGTGTGTTAAAAGTGTCCTTAGGTCAGAGGTCACTGTCATTAGTGTGAATCTTTTTTTTTTACCTTTCCATCTAAAACTTACCTTTGTGTGTGGTAAACGAAAAGAAAAAGAAGATAGCCAAGAAAAATGTATGTTTTTTT